GATTAGTGTGAACAGTTTGGGGGGCCATTATTCTGCTGACCATGCCCTATCCATAGCTTGGGGCGTCCTGGAGCCCGTGGGTTAAGGTAATAAGACAGAGATAACATGACTTTCAGGGTATCGAGAGGCTTCCTTGACTCCCTGATGTTGGCTGCACTTCACCAAAGTGGATCCAGATGAGCCCCTTTAACACAGCAAATTCTTTCCGGATGCCCTCATAGCTGGCTCCCTTAGAACCCATTCCCTGTGATAAGCAGCAGAGGTCAGGAGAAGGCAGGAAATGGGCTTTGGTGTTTGCCCTCCGGGGCTGCAGATGATATTATGGTCCTGGAAAAGCTGTACAGCACTGCCCCTCAGTTCTTCTTTTTTAAAAAAAAAAATATATTAATAGATTGATTTCAGAGAGGAAGGGAGAATGAGAGAGATAGAAACATCAATGATGGGAGAGAATCATCGATCGGCTGCCTCCTGCACGCCCCCCACTGGGGATCGAGCCTGCAACTCAGGCATGTGCCCTTGGCTGGAAGCGAACCTGGGACCCTTCAGTCCGAAGGTTGACACTCTATCCACTGAGCCAAGCCGGCTAGGACTGCCCTCACTGCTTAAAAGCCCCAGGTGTTGCTGACATTTGGGCAGGTGAGGCGCAGCTCAGAGTTACAGGTGTTCTTTCTGATGTCTAGTTTTGAAAGGGAATGAGTGTCAATATTGCAGAGACCACGTGGGGAAAGAGAAGGACCCTGATCTCATCCCTATTCACAAAAGGAGGCCACAGGACAGTCTAGGATGGAAGGGAACGCAGGCTGTCCTAAGGAGATGCGTAACCATCACAAAAGAGCCAAAGAGGAGAGGGATCTAGGCCAAGCCTACCTCGGACAGCCAGGCCACTGCGGGTGTGCAGTTTGGTGCATCTGAGTCCCACTGGGCACTCTCCCTTCCGAAGCCTCTCCAAGGGGAAGTTAGGCAGCATGCCCACTGATTCTTTTTTTTTAAAGTATGTTTTTATTGATTTTAGAGAGGAAGGGAGAGGGAGAGATGGAAACATCAATAAGAGAGAATCATTGTTTTGGGAGGAAACCAAGATGGCGGCATAGGTAAACACCGGAGTTTGCTGCCTCGAACAACCACTTCAAAAATACAACTAAAAGACCCTCCAGGGCATCACCCAGAACCACAGGAAGGCTGGCTGAGGAGAGACTCTT